CTGCAGCGAATTATCGAACCCAGGAGAGAGGTGGTGGGTGCTTTGGGAGGAACGGTTGGTGAAAGGGCTGGAGGGAGGCAGCATGTTTGGCCTTGCAGTAATAGGCCTTGGGTTACTGCTGTCTTCCTCTTGTGAGATTAGAGGAGGTCAGAACATGTGGCCTCCTTGCCGTTTTTGCAGCCTCACATGATCATATGAACTACAATTGCCTTGAAGTGCCACAAGGAAGAAATAATTAATAATCTTTGAAAACTATTCATAGTACTATAATTACTAGCATGAAATTTTGAGCTAATTTGGATTTAATTTATAAGGGAACTTTAAGATATTCTCCTATGTCCTTTCCTTGCTTACTTCATAATCATGTCTCAATCTTTAATCTCCAAGTCTTGGTTTAGATCGTTATTCTAAGTTTCCATAAATTGTAGGTCTTTATTGTGCCTATCCTATTTAACTCAGGTTCATTTCATGTGCAAAAAACTCTTCAGTTTTCTCATATTACCTACTTTTAATCATATTTTCCTTATCTAAACCTGTATACAAATGTTTATAGTAGTTTTATTAACCTGGATGGACCTAAAGTGCATCATGCTTAGATATTTATTGTTATTATTATTATTTGTAATAGCCCCAGATAGTAGCCCAGATGTTCATACAACCTAAAAAAAAAAAAAAAAAAAACCAAACTCGCTGCCACTGAGTCAGATCTGACTCATAGCAACCCTTCCCCTTGGGTTTCCAAAAACTCTATGTCTTTATTGCCCTCCTTACCCCATCAAAACCCACTACATTAAGTTGATTCCAATTCAGAGCAACCCAATAGGACAGAGTAGAGCTGTACCATAGGGTTTCCAAGGCTGAAAATCTTTACAGAATCAGACTGCCTCATCTTTCTCCTGTGGCATGGTTGGTGGTCTTGAATCATCAACCTTTTGGTCAGTAGCCAAATGCCTTAACCACTGCTCCTTTCTTCCATCGACAGGATTAGGTAGTGTTCTGTGTACTGACAAGGAAGGTGTCTATGGTACATAGTTGGGTGAAAAAAAGCAAGCTTCAGATTATGTCAGTATGTGTGTTAGTTAAGGTTGTATGTCATCTAGGCTGGGCCATGTTTTGAGTGGCTAGGCAATTGGATGTAGTTATTTCCCACAATGAGATTGTGATCATCTCTCCACAGTAGAATCGTCTATGAGCACCTAAGTAGTTGCCTTTGGGGTGTGGCCTGCTTCCAGTGTATAAGGAGAAGTTTTGAGAAAGCTAGAGAGCTTTTGGCACTTCTTGATCTTGCATTTGGCCAAGTCTTCATCTCAGTAGCCTGCCATGTTGCCTGCTTGTCTTGGGATTGTTCCTGGACTTGAACTAGTAGCCTGCTGTGTCTTCTGTTAATCATGGGATTGTGCCATTTAACTTATTGATCTTAGGCTCTTTAGCCTCAGCAACCAGCAGCTGTGTTAGTCAGAAAAAGCCTCTATCACCAGTGGGCCTGGAAGAAGAGGCAGAGCTGAAGCCCAAGGTCAAGGGGCCTTAACCCAGACTCCAGAACCAGCACTTTGAACACAGACATCTAGCCTTCTAAACTGTAAGAGAATAAATCCCTGTTTGTTAAAGCCATCCACTTGTGGTATTTCTGTTATAGCAGAACCAACAATATGACTCCATTATTTTTGTGTTTTATAAAAACAACAGTAATGTGTATAATGTAGTACACAGTCATAAATTAATGAATACGTCAATAAATACATTTGGGAGAATATATGCAGAACTCTGTAACACTGCCTAATGCTAGGGAATATTGTAAAGGAAAGATTTTCACTTTTTACCTGTTAATTTCTGCTTGACTTTTACTACTTTCATAATACAAAAGGAAAAAGGTTATCTGAATTTTTCATGGCACATTTGCTAAATTCTTATGAGACAGCAGGTAGAAAGAGAACTGTACTTAGAAGTTACAAGATCTGAGCTGAATCTCCTTTTCCAGAAAATGCTAAGATCTTGACCAAACTGAAACCTCTGTGAATTATGTTGCTTTATGTATGAAGAAGTAATAACAACACTGAACTGCTATGGAGTTCCACTGAATGAATATATGTGAATACATCAACTGCAATGTGATTATTTCTAAAATTATTACTAACAAAAGAGATTAGTGTTTTAACTATAAAAGCTCAAATGCTATAGCATATATTATCATTTATTAACTACCTGAACATTAGATAAGGTTTTGAGAAGATAATAACATTTATGAATAACTACTTTTGTCCTGAGCCATGCTTGAATCCTAGAAGACAACCATCTTCATAAAAATCTGCAGGTGGGTTTTCATCGATGTCTAATTCATGGCTAAAAAAATAAACAAAAGGTAAATAAGTGGTGGTAAGTCATTACGTTCAGAGCCCAACAGTGCAGGAAAATATCAAAAGGTATATATAACCAAACCTATTCAAACTTTCCCATCACAATGATCAACCACAGTTCACAAATTCAGGAATGTAGGAAAAAGAGTACTTTTATCAGGGTTTTCGAAATGCAAAAAAGTATCTCATAGTATTTGGAACACAGTAATAAGCACTTAAATCTTAAACCATGTTGTGTAATTATTTTCATTCCTGAACATGGTAGAAATCTGGGTCTTCTCATTTTCTTTTGGAAAAACATCAGTAAAAGCTACAACCTTCGACTTAACTCCTACTACAATTTCCCTAGAGGTTTTCCTTAAAATAAAGGAAAGAAACATTTAAAAATGTATCAACGCACATAACAACAACAAACAAACCAGAATAAAGAAATAAAGTGCAAAAGAAAAAGTACTATTTAGAAGAATAAGCCTATGTTTAAAAACCACAGGCGTGTCCATATATCAGGGATACCTTTTATGACTCCAGTGGTATGAGCCCCAGTATACCAAGTAAATGAAAATGGTGATGAAGTATTACTAAGTTTGTCCCTCTAATTAAGTTAAATGTTCAATGATATATTGAGGTCTAGTGCACAAATAAAATTCTGTGATTATATCCACACTTTTGGGGTGAGGAAGAAAGAACTTCTTTGAGAGAGAGCCTAGCTAATTATTAATTAAAACCCATCATGTATTGCCCATTTATCATGTGTCAGATATATATTCTAGTTCTAATCCTCCCAATTATCTTTCCAAAATCCATTTTACAGATGAGAATGCCCAGGGCCTTGCCAGTGTACACACACTTCTCCATACAGAATGAGGCCTCTTCTCCAGACAAGATGAGCAGTGCTGTACATAGACCACACATTTCATAATCACTCACTCATGGCCACAAACACTTATGTTAACAAGTTTTGGAGAGGTGATGTTTAACTTGCCTCCTCTTGAGTTTAGCTGGTTTACTTTCAGGTGGATCTTCTTCACTCTCATCTCCATTAACACCAGCGGTGTGTGGTCTTTCTTTGCTTGTGTTTGCTCCTGAAGACTTCTGTGAATCTAAAGTAGAGATAATCCAGCGAAATTATCTCATTTATTATAGGTTTGACAACTCTTCTGCCATTTCCAATCAAAACATTTCAGTGGCTCTTCTGCAATGAACCGTGCATGCATGCAAGGCACAGTGCTAGACCATACCCACCAATTTTGTATGTCTAGCAAAGTCTGATCATAAAAAAATGTGTAGCCATATCTACTAAGGTTTAAAAGTTTCTGTGATCTAACTATTTAAAAAGCCAACTAAACCTACTACTTCAGGAGTTCTGGCAAGATGGCGGACTAGGTAGAAGGACTGCAGAGACCCTCTTCAACAAAGAAAAGGGAAACCAATTAACACAGACACAGAAGATAATCTTGGACTGCTGAGCCTTGAAGGGAAGGATACAGAAGTAGACTAAACCCCAACTAGCAGAAAAACTTGCGTGAAAATACCAAAACAGGAGACATACAGAGCTGAAGTCTGGCAGGGACCTGAGCTCCCCTGACGGCACAAACAACTTGGACATTCCCGAGTGGTGGTAGGACCTAAAAATTAACCTAAACATCACCCTGCTAGCCAGGGACTGCACGGACTGTGCACAGTGGCTGAGGAATAAACAGAGAAGGTGAAGAGAAAGGTGGGCTGAGCTGCAGATTTTTGCCGGTCAAGAGGGCGCCACCATTTTGTAGGTTTAAAAAGTGGCTTGACTATTTTGGATATTTAAAGAGACAG